GTACAAAAAGAAGAGGAGAAAATGTGGGAACTCGATAATTTAATTGACGTTACTGTGGAACCTATCGTTATCAATCTAGGAGACGAAGATAATTCATCAGAATATTCAGAGGATGAATTTTAATATACCTACTTTTTTATTTTCTTTATTGTACATTTATACAACACTACATTTACTCACCATAATTTGAATTTTCAAAATACATATATTTTTGTGTGGAATAAAAGTCTATTCATTAAATTTAAATAAATATTTTGATAATAATATTGAATAATTTTATTTGAATTACTAAAAACCCTCTTAACTCGGTTATGATACTTAATGTAGCCTCATGTTTTGAAATGCTGTTTTTATATTGCTTACTTATAAGAGAAATGGACCGAGAAATTGAAGCGGCATAGACAAAGACGGATTGTCGGGGATTAAATTTTAGCTACCTGCTACAATTTAGTACAGTCCGATCGCACAAAGTTTTTTTAAAAGTACACCTCATCCTATACCGATAATAGATAATATAAAAATATTGAATATAAGCACCAGTACTACATTTATTTACGATTTGCATACATAATAACTTTTATTACTCTCTTTCATTTCTAAACAGACTATAAATGAAATTGAACTCTTCAATTTTTTTCGTAGGATGCACCGTTTTTGAGAAAAAAAAATATCACATTTTAGTGCAAGTTGAGTATTTTTAATTTATATTGATACATTATCTAGTAGGTTGCTGTCAATATTTCTAAATAAAATACAACCACCACATTTCGAGTAAATATATTTAAAACTCTTTGAAATAATTAATAAAAATAAATAAAAAATTATAATTTAAACACTCTCTATCTCGGAAACGAGGCATATTTCGACCAACGTTTATATAAACTTTTTTTCACAAAACAACTTGCGGCAACCACCCTCTAAAATATATCGCACTTATTTACAAACACTCTGTAGAAGATATGGTTAAATTGAAGCAAACTTTTCTAACTCGGCGTGTATTAATTTCTCTAGTGGGAATAAAAAAAAATTTCAAATTTCGAATGATTATTAGAAAACCTACATAAATATTCAAACACTTTCTTAATGCCATTTTTGCTCCCCTATTCGAATCTAGCATCAATTTTTTTTTGAAAAATTTTATCTTTGAGCACCCATCATCAGTTCAATTTTTGTAACGAACCTACTCATACTTTCGCATCATTAAACCACGAGTCCAATGATTTATGTTTTAATAAATAATAAGTATTTTCAGTAATCAAAGCCGTTGAAATTGTAAAAACAGCACTTGAAATTAATAATAATCGAAAATATTCCCTGGAATCCTGCCCTGCATAAAAAAGAGGTCAGTTTTACGTTTGTTTTCATTACGGACACGTGTGTTATTTATTGTTTAAATTTTAAGCATAATTAGTGAAAAAATGCTTTAAGTAAAGCCATTTATTTTTCCGCATTCTTGCCAGTGGCAACTGGTGAAAATTAAACTGGCCATATTTTGATAATGAATCAAGGGGCCCATACAGTTTTTTTAGGGAAAGATTTCTATACTCACAAAGACAAAAATTCGAATGGAATTTGCGAAAAAAAATAAAATAGGGTTTCCGACCTATCATTTCGAAAGGTTTGCACATATTTGTGCATAATTTTTATTTTTTTTTTCATAATCAACTGTTAAGATAGTAACAGGCGTTTTTTTTTAATTTTTGAGAAAATTTTCTGTGTAGTTGTACCTATTTAAATTTTAACTTTATGCTAATAATCTGTTTTTCAAACCTCATAATTCTGTAACTTTATGAAAAATTTGAGAAAAATAAAAAAAATGATCATTTGTGTCTATCAGTTGGTTACGAAAAAGAAAAATACAAATATATATGCAACCCTACAATCAAAAAGTACCTGCCTATTTATTTTATTCTCATCAATAGATGACACTATACCTATACAGGGTCGGAAAGTCCCCATGGTTCATCGGCCGTTACGTGAGAGCGATAAAGTAAGTCATAGAAATCCGTGCGATAAAGGTGGCTATAATGAAGGCGTCTAATAGTCACCGCCCATTTCACCCTTCCACAAATAAGATCCACTTCTTATTTGTGGAAGGAAGTATCTTTTTTAAAATTAAAAAATTNCATGGTTCATCGGCCGTTACGTGAGAGCGATAAAGTAAGTCATAGAAATCCGTGCGAAAAAGGTGGCTATAATGAAGGCGTCTAATAGTCACCGCCCATTTCACCCTTCCACAAATAAGATCCACTTCTTATTTGTGGAAGGAAGTATCTTTTTAAAATTAAAAAATTCGCTAAAAAATGCCAACAATCGATTCCTGTAAAAAACATTATCGAGAAATGAAAATCGAAAAAGATATTCAAGAAAAACCCGACCAAAAATTTTTACTTTATTCAAAATCATCTTTGGACACTTGAAAAGAATAAAATCGTTATCACTCTTTTTTACCATGAAAGTACAACTCTTAAGGGAAAAAATTAGCCCTGATTCGTTTCTCTACGACCATTCGTCGAGCAAGAAGAGCCGAAAAATCGATTTAACTCGAAAAATTTTTAATATTTTTTAATTAAAAAAAAACATACTCTTTTGCTTGCCGAGGGCTACATTTACAGAAAGTAACAAGTTTCAAAATCTTAATTTGCAACAAATACAGCTAAAACAAAAAGAAGTCGATTTTTGACGGATTTTATCGATATATCTCGAAAAGTAATATAGCAATCGATATCTTTAAAAATACCAATCGATAAGTTTTTTCAATAGCGACAAGTTTCTCTTTTTTTATTAGCAAAAAACCGTTTTTTTACTTTTATGAATTTTTTAGGTTAACTTCGCCGTTTATGTGCCACAGGAAAAATACACCATCTTTCTTAAATTTTTTTTCCTATATCATCATATTTTTTATTTCCAGGTGGTATTTTTTTGTAAGCTCTTCTACCTATTGATTTAAGCGGTGATGTCGAAAACTAGTGCGGCGGAGGGGACGACATATCATTACTAACACCTTTTACCCCACTTTTACGATGAATTATCGACTACCTAAGCAATTTCGGGACATAAAACGTCAAATGCGGATCTTAGGACCCTCTGTCGCCCGGTCCCCGTGCAGCTATCGATCTCGTTCGACTATAACGTCCGACAAAAGGCCAAACATGTTTACGAGAGGCGGCTCTCCTAGACGAATTTAGCCCCCAGAATTGGATCACACGGATGGGGCACCCCTGCATATTAAGAACAACAGGTTGTGCTGTATCGATTCGGACCGAGCGAATGGGTTTTCAAATGGCAACGGCGTCTACTACTATGCCAGAATGGGGGGTGTGTTGATGAATGAAGACGTTCTTGAATAGGTCGGGTCGTTCGCATATATCCCTATAATGTGGAACTAACGGTATGGTTTTTAAGGAGAAAGTACCACCGGCACGAAATGCAAGGAAACCAACGTAAGTTCAAAGCTAAAAATTTGAAACGCCGTTGAAG